ATGCTCCCGGCCATGATTCCTGCAGCCCGAGCGGCTGCTTTGTAACGCCCATGTGTTGCAGTCGTTTTTCGTGCAGTATGGAAAGTCACTCACCTCAGATTCAATTCCAGCTGATCTCAGGAACAAAACAAGATGAGCCTAAACAAACATCACAGAAAGGTTAGAAATATTTGTTTGCCGGCTCCAAATACAATCTTATCACCACTTGTGGTCGACCTCAAGTACATGGACAACGATTCTAAATCCTCTTTACATGAATCAGTCAGTATAACACGAAGAGAATTTTGCGACTTTAACGACAAAAGTATCCATTCGCCACTTTAGAAACCAGAAGGAGACTGGAGCCGAAATACGTCCCACAATTGTTTCTGGAATCGTTACTGGGGACGCGCCGTCAGCTATTGGCCATTTTTTCCCGCCTCTAAAAAAGGCCCAGAAGTCTTAATTGCCCAGTTTCCTTCTCATTTTTAAAGTGGCAAATGGTAAAGATCATATCATCAAAATAGTAGACTTTCTCCAAAAGAGGAGAAAGGTAAGGACGAGGATGATATGGGCGGACCAGTCGATCCCCTAGTGAAATGAAAAAAAAGGGAAGGGGTTGCTGTATTATAGGCAGCATCACGATAAATTTATTACAAACAAGTTGTTGACTTGCCATGAATCGTAATATTTGCGTTATTGGGTTCTTTTCCTTTTCCAGCCAACTGTGCATCTTTTCTATTAAAGCTGAGTGAAACAAACAGAAAAAGGCATTTATCACCATACAGAAACACTTCACCTTAGTCAACAAACTACAATAGGCTTGAAGCTTGTCCTCATCTACTACAACTTACAATTTGTGTCGTTAAGTATGATGTGTCTCTGTATGACATGATGGAATTCCTCCGCTTGCTGTCTGATGGACTAATGGATCATAAAAAATTCGTGATCAAATAGTTAATGCCTGTGTAAAGAATAGGCCTACATATATGGCAAGTCATGGACCGTTTTTCAAATTGCCTCGAAATTGCTTGGATTTTGAACATAACCTTACACGTGCATTCTTGCAAAAAAAAAAAAAGAAAAACCATTGGCCAGAGCTGTTTTCTGTTGCTGATTACTAGTGAAAGGCCAAAACGTGATGTCGCAGCACCGTTTGGAAAACAGAGGAACTGGAGAAAAGCTTACTTCCTTGCACTAACAGTGTTATCCTTATCAGGCGGTAACCGGTAAAATTTACCGCCTGAAGCAACACTTCTTACACAAGTTGTGATCCGATCCGATTCTCACATGTCAAAAGTAAATAAATGAATGCATGGTCGGCCGATTTGCGTAACACAGGTCTTAAAATGAGGGGATGACGTTTCAGAGAACTTAGCTCAAAATTTCCAAGCAAGGGCGGGGCCACGTCCCAGAGTCCAGTCCAGAGTCCCCCCCCCCCCCCCAGGAAAGTGCACCTCTGGCGCCAATTTTTTTCCTTACCCGCTGTGAATGGTCCTTTACCCTCTGAGCCAAAATGTAGGGAGAACACTGACTCAATGCATACAGAAACAAAAGTCTTGATATACAATGTATATGGTTCCTCTGTTGTCACAGAAGCAACTTTTGTGCAATCAAAGGAAAGAAAATGATCCCAAATTTGAGATAGACCATTTCGGCCTGAAGGTAATCAATTATGACAATACTAGTGAAGATTAGTAAAATACAAGGTTTTTGATCTTCATCGATGATAATGATATTCACGGTGAAGTCGTTCTGTCATGTATAATCGAACTAGCCAACCAAAACCACACTTTAGTTAAGTAGACATACCTCTTTTGGACAAGCCTTAAGTTCTTCGAATATTTTCTCTGGATTGAGCCTATGAAGAGACATATATCATACATAAATTTTTTGTGTCAATGAACAATTCTGGTACTTAGACCATTACGTACCATTTACCAGTTATATACTTTCACTTACGTTTGATCCCAGAATTTAGGTGACAAGTTTGCCAAGTCTCTGTCAGGTCTAGGATGAAGGCGAATTTCCTTTAAAAAAAGATAAGATAAGATAACTTTATTATACCACTTAAGGAAATCTCAAATGATAAAAACTATGTACAAAATTATTTACAATCACGTAATAAAAATTAAAAGAATTTATCATTGCAAAAAGCTAGCACTAAGATACATGTATGCATATATAAAGAATATGAATTAACCATTTTCACATAGACCATAAAGCACCTTGTCCCCCACCCCCCCCACAATAAAAAAAAATTGTATAAGCATTCTCTTAGACTTTTCTTGGGACGACGGTGATACCCAGGAGAATGGTTACGCGAAATTCTGGGGGGTAAACAAGGTGCATTATGGTCTATGTGAAAATGGTGCATGATAAAATTAAAACCGGATTTTTTGCCGCATTGCAAGATGGCGATTATCTAATAAATAATTCACATGATCACTTTTGTCGCTAATTATTCCAAAAAACAACAGCAATAACAATTACACAAAAGGGTAAACAGTAGTGTTACAACTTTAAAGTCAACATGCATTCACAACATACTTGTACAAACACGATCCTAAAATATAAAGGAACTATTTTGGAACTCTTTGATTCAATTCCTCTTTTATATCATTTTTTTAGTTGCTATTTTATTTTTAACACTTACCTGTTCCACTCTAACATCAACCATAACTCTGTAAAATGCCCATAAATAATCTTCCCATGACCTGCAGACTGGTAGAAGCTAAAAAGAAAAATACAACGTGCTTGACTTAGTAATTATGCCCGTGCATGTGAATTTAATTATGCAACTTGTACTGATTAGACACGAATCAGTGTGCATGAGATACAAAGTGTAATTACAATGCACCTGTGTACGGCAGAACCATAAAAAGATCCACATAAGGCCTGCATAGTCAGTGTGTATCCAATAATTGTCTAAAATTACTCAAGAGTACGCTAGAGTATGCTCTTTCCATCTTGGTACCCTTAACATGCCCCTCCACACCCTAGCCCTGCGAATACCACCTGCCAGGAGAGTAGCTGGCTTTTCGACTAGTTGTAGGCCTGGCTGACTTTCATTTCCACATATCCTGAAATACATGTAATCTATTACAAGCGGTAGAGTGATCAAAAATGGAAGGCCCGGGCCTACAAGTCTATGGGCTGGTTACGCCCCTGCCACCAGCACTAAATTGCCACCTCATACAATGTCCAGGATAAAACTGTCTTTCCCATGCACAAAAACAAGCAGTAGAAAAAAGGATTAGCAAAGTCAGTGTAGTACACTGCCTTCTGTGTGGTTCCGATTCCCAGGTGTGACCTGAATCCCTGTTTTGACTTCTTTCATTTCCGTGTAGCTTTAAGTAGTTTTAAATACCCATAAAACGAAGCACTGATGGAGAGAAAGATGTAGTACACTGCCTTCTGTGTGGTTCCGATTCCCAGGTGTGACCTGAATCCCTGTTTTGACTTCTTTCATTTCCGTGTAGCTTTAAGTAGTTTTAAATACCCATAAAACGAAGCACTGATGGAGAGAAAGAGGGGGGGGGGGGGTAAAATAAGCACATCGTCAGCCTCAGGTTTGTCACGAGTTACTGATGTAATATAAGGACCTTTAACTTTACCTTTACCAACACGGTAGCAATGTTTCTGCCAATTCAATTTTACAAAATTTTGAAAGTTTCTAGTGTGTTATAATATATGTTGCAGTTAATTTTTTATCTCAGGTAATATTTATGGTTCTTTTGCTTTTGGGTAAGGTAATGTATGCTAATGAAGTTGAAACAAATGAAAAATAAAAATTACAGGTCTGAGATAAAAAATTAACTATATAACCATAAGATAGATTTTTGCGTTTTTTTTTTGTTTTTTTTCAGGGGATGGGGTGTCTGTACAAAAGTTAATCATCAGAGTACAGGACAAGTGTAAGCTTTGTAGCATTCCTGACATCTAAAACTGTACAAACTGGGATGTGTGCACATGTAAGACTTAACAACACTATAACCAAGACCATCCAATACCTACATACCTGGCTAAGGTTTCCACTAAGTGCAGCATAAATGGCTCTCTCATACATGCTAAACTTGGTCTGATAAATAAGAATGAAAATATAATTCTTTCATATAACCCTAAGGCAACAAGTCATTCTTCATGAGAAAGAAGACCAGGTGACTTAATACAAGTGAACTCTGTAAGTGTACTCATCAAAGGGCATAAAACAAACATGAACTCGTCATCATCATCATCATCTTCGTTTTTTCCTTTTCTCCATACGGTGCAATATTTTTTCATACGACAGATATAAATTATTTATAGAGAGGGACACCAATATGGCAGCCGGAAACAAACAGAAACATCTGTTGCCGAGTTTTGCTACAAAAGCGTAAATTTATCCCTTGAGAAACTCATAAACATTAAAGTAATACTTTTCGGTAAGATTCGCGTATAACCCCATATATTTACTAGGCATAAATGTTTCGACTCTACTCATATTACCTAAACTATTTGTGAGAAAAAGTACGAAATTGCTGTTGGACTGTTGAGAAAGCAAAATCTCCCTAAATAAGTCACTTTTAAATCAACATGACAGCTGTCACAGCCACCACATAAATGCAGGGCATTCAGGCATAATCTATCACAAAACAAAGAACCCTTTCAAAGTGAAAATTTGAAAAATCTAAGTTTTAGCTTCTCTAACACTTTGTGAAAGTAAAAACTCAGGAAAATTGACAATAATATTCTTCATTTTTGCATTTTGGCAATGTCATGTGAAAACGAAGAATACAAAACTGCATACCTCTTGTGACATTTTCCAACAAGCTGCTTTCCACACATCTCTGAATGGGTTTCCTTCCATGGGAGCAAGAGCTTCATTGTTTGATACTGGAAAAAATGGAACCATTATTAACTGTGCACCATTTTGAAATGACCTTGAGTATTGGCTTAAAATTCTACATGTCAAGATTTGGTTGGTTTACAGCACTTTAGTTTATATTGCATGAGGAGTAAAACAAAATAAGATTCTTAACCATGTAAGTCCCAATAGTGACCAGCATCAATTTTCTCCTAACAATATCCATATGTTGCCAAGAGAAATGGTTATGAGAGTTAATAAAATGATCACTGAAGAGAAAATGCTTTGATCTGTTATCAAACTCTCTCAACTACTGTAATTCTTTAAGGAAATGAAGATCAGTATGGAGTATTATATGTGGATATTGGGACTTAAAGGTTAATGAATATTTAAACAAGCAAGAAATCCAACTGGATGGATGCAAGTTAGTTGACTGTTACCAAAAATTACCAAGGCATTGTACTCTAACCTCCCACGCAGCCGTTTTTGTCTCGCTTTACAACACTCTTCTCATTACCATGAAACCAAGTGAGAAAATCACTGATATTCCAGGGGGTGGGGTATGACAAGTACAACATTCAACAATGCAAGGTGACAGGGAGGGTGCCCTCTGTGGGGGGTATGGATATTTTCTGGAATGACACATTTGAACTTAGGGTGACTGAGACAGGGTAATGGTTAGTTAAGTACAGCATTTCTGAAATTCCCCATTGTTTTTTTATTATTATTTTATTTTGATAAACAGGAAATTTGTTTTGCAATTTACTCTCAAGGATCATCACAGATGTAAGTTTAATTTTGAGACAGACACACAGTTCAACATTAAATGATCGATAAATGTTGCTGCTTGTTCAACAAATGTTGAACAGTGTATCATACATGTACCATGTTGAATGTTGTTGAATAGAGAAAGGCTCTATTCCTTACATTCAACAAGTTGCAATAAGTTAAACAATAAGAGCTGCAATGTTTTTTCATCAACAATGTTAAAGAGTATGTCAATTTTTTTCCTTTTTTTTGTGTCAAACTGTGTTCTACAAATATTATTTCGTGAAAAGAAGTTAGGAAGTAAAATGGTGAACATGTACCTCCCTCCACATTAGGATCATGCCAGAGTTTCCAGCCTTCAAGAGTTGCTGCCCTCCAGGACTGACCACATTTTTCACACAAATGTTGAGCCTCGATGACAATAAAAAAAGAAAACATCAGTTGAAAATTGAAATACCAGTAAATTTCAAAATAATTCAACAACACTATCACTCCTTTCTGCACCTAGCAGCACATAGGGCACAAACAAAAGTTCTCCAATCAAGTTATCTTTTGGCTAAACCTGAAACATTGATTTCATTACTCGACACATCTCTGTAACCGACATGATTTTATGACAGTAGGTGCTTTGCTAAAAGCTCAACACCCATCCCTTCCCCCGTCCAACCAATCATCATTATTACGGCTCACTTATTTACCTCCTCGAGTTTGCCTGCCCTGATCAAACAGAATAGATGTCGCAGCAATCTGGTTTCATCTTCCTGAAATGAAGGTATTAGTAAATGCATCAAGTTGGTATTTATGTAATTTATGAATTGATATTGCTAGACCAGGGTTATATACATGCAGAAATTGCTCATAATATTATCATTAATGGTCGAGGTGTAATAAACAACTCAGTCATGCAGAGGGAGAAAGGGTGGTGCAGTGGTGTACCAACCTTGTACACTAATGTAGCCCAGTTTCAACTCCTGGAGGTAAAACCATATGGAGAATGAGTTTGTTGTTGGTTTACTCAGCATAGCCTCTCCTTAAAACAAACTTTACTAAATTCTAGTTCGATCTGATAAAATGTGGAAAAAGTCCATCCAGCCATCCACCTGTCCTTTTGTCCATTCATCTGCATGCCCACCCACCTGCCTGTGCAACTCACTTGCAGCACTGTGCAGATTTTAGGAATTGTGAGGGCTTGACCAAATTGTATTGTCAGTCGTGTAACCTTTCAGAAGCTCTGAAAAATTACTTACCACTAATCAAATCAAGTGGCACACGTCTTACTTTATTGATGATCAAAAATAATTTATATGCACTGTGATGACCCTCTTAAACAACACTAATTGCCACGCCATTACTTTTATTCCACACACACGTGGCTCTTTTTTTTTTCACATACCTGGTCTAAATCAGCAAGAGGTCTGTTCTGTCTTACTGGAGCATCAGGGTCCTATGTTGATAAAAGAGAGCAACCTGAGCCCTGGTTACCACTAAACTTTCAAGTACACTGTACATTGGTAGACAGCAATAATATTATGTTAACAAAATGCAGGGCTTTTTATTATGAACTATAACTTCACTGAATTACTTGTACATTTCACACTGCACTTTGCTGTGGCTCATGCTTTTTGAGGGGAAATCGTGGTCTGGTCCTCAGTTACAAGACTGGCAATTAACAAATCACTGTCTTACATACATATACATACATACTTTATTGGCTCGTCCCCACGGGGCTTTTCAGAGTCAATTTTACATTACAAAATTATAAACCAAGTACATGACAATAAGAATATAACAATGATAAAAGAAGACAAAGGTCAATAAAATTAATTAAATTAATTAAATAAAGCAGTCATTAAGAAGCTTTTGCCTGAGTAAACACTTGAATTCCGTCACGGATGGGCTAAGTTTGAGCGCAGGCTGCAACTCATTCCAGAGAGAGGTTGCTCTATATTGAAAGGTCCTTTGGCCGCTGGCAGTGCGGAAGAGTGGTATGTTCAAAAGTTGAGAATTTCTCGTATTCCTTGTCGAGACGGCGGATCTTCCAACGAGCTTTGATGTCAAATACTCCGGAGCACAACTCGTCATGCACTTAAAAACCAGAACAGCAAAACGAAAATAAAGTTGTTGCCTGATTGGTAGCCAGCGCAAGTCTTTTAGCAAAGGAGTTATGTGATCGAATTTTTTAGCGCCGCTCAAAATACGACAAGCGAAATTCTGTACTGCTTGGAGCTTGTCCAGATTAGTTTGAGTAGTATTGCTCCAAACAGAAGAGCAATAGAATAATTTACTAAAAACTAAGGCATTTATAATAATAATTAGCGCGTGTTTATTAAAAATATGCTTAACGCGGTTAATTTGACCCAAACGTGACATGCATGAGGATACAGTAGAAACAATATGCTCATTATATGTTAAGTTAGAGTCCAGTGTGACACCAAGGTCTCTTGCAGCCTTAACGGGCTCGAGTTGTCTTCCATGTTACAATAAAAAAAAATAGGTGCCATGAAGCTTCACTTACCATCTCTGTAACTTGTGGTCTTCTCATTCCAATGCTTCCTTCCTGTTGCAATGCATGAAGAGTATTCTCCCTAAAACATTCAATGATGGAATTAACTTTTTACAGAGAATACTCCAATATTGATGTTTCCATGCAAAGATAAGTTTGATGTATTTTGCACGCCCTTTTAAATTACATGTACACCCTGCTGTCGGCCAAGTGCTCCGATCACCACAGGTACAGTTTCTCTTTTAAGACCCCAGAGCCCTATTATTACTATCATAATTATCATTACTATTATTGTTATTATCATTATCATTGTAATCATAAAGAAACCTACCAACACACTGACTCAGAAAAATACTCCACTTTATCAGACTCTAAAAACAATTCCAGCCAGTCTTCTGCATTCTTTTCTAGCCAGTCAATAACAATCTAAAGAGGATATAGTTAACATGGCAAAAATGAGAAAAAAGCACATAGTTTGCAAAAGAATGCTTTTACAAAACAAAAGGTTGATGTACATGTACATTTTATGATTTTTAATCACAACCATGGACAAATCAATCTAGACATGATACAAAATTTATACATTGTTAATCTACATTGCTGTAAGTTCATATAATTATTGTAACTTATACCTTAAAAAGATTATTTATCATAAAAATAACATACTGTACACTTTACAAGTCAAAAAGAAAGAAACAGTCTCCCTGAGACTTATAACCAAACATACAGTGTGGAATGACACATGTTCATGAGCTTGCGCCGTTGAAATAACATGAGCATGGCTTCTAGTTCTTTGCTGAAAATTTTATAATAACTGGCAAAGTTTCAAAGAAGTACTTGGGCATCCCAGTATCATTGGAGCCCTACACCAAGTACTGAAATAAAAAATCTAAAGAGTGCACATCCTAGACAACAAACCAGTCGATTATTGTTAGCTGGTAGTTTTACCACATTATCTGTAAACACACTGTTGAAACCTTGATCTTAAAAGCAACAAAGCACTGTGACTATTCAAGGGTGGCACTTCTTTTAGGAAATGATATTGTATGTAAACTGCACTGGAATTTAATACCCACAAAATACCCAGCAAGATTACACAGTTTACCTGGTTTTGCCTGGTAGAGGCTTCCCTTTCATACAGATTATTTGTAATGGTCTTTTCACTCCAATTTCGTCCCTGGATAATGAATAGATTGTGAAAAAATGATAATCTCACTGTTAGTAGAATTTACTTCTAATGCATAATTACAGGATCAGCTACATTTTAGTCACAACTGAAAACAGGTCAACAATCCACTATTACTATTATTGATACAGACCTTGTTGATCCATTAAGTTAGAGATTGAGTTAACTTTTTTCATATCAAATTAAATCAGAACACTTTACATACCACAAAATTTGTAAGCATGGCTTCGTCATCAAACATTCCATTTTGAAGTCTATCACTATAATAAATTGAAACATTACAATGTGAGTGGAACAAGATCAATGTAAAATTAATACAAAACTATTTGTCACTATAATTTCTTTTAAATCTGTGGAGTAAATCCTCTAGAGTTACTATTCAAATGAAATCTCTCTGGCATAACTTTTTCATAGTACTATCTGTTTTAAAATAGGATTTCACAAAAAAGAAATTTGAACAATATAACCTAAACACTAGTGGAAAAGCAGCTTCCTGAGTTTATTTAGAAGCTCAAAAAATTTATCACTTAGTTGTGAAAATGTTAACCTCCTATAGGATTATGGGCTTTACAATTATTATGACATGACAGTCTAGTTCGCTATATATATATAATTATATTTAACAAAATTATAGATTAACTTTATTATGGCATATCAGTATAGTTGGATCTACATTGTATAATATCACAAATACAGTGGCAATGATTCCACATATTTGCGGCCTGAATACAGGAGACTCATTCAAACAAGCATTTTCAATTTCGCTATTAGCATGCATGGGTCAATTTGGGCTTCGAGGCTTGCTGTAACTACAGTACAATAGTTATATCACTAACCTGTACAATGAGCCAACAAGTCTCCAAGTGTAACTTTCTTGAGAAATGAGATCTACTATATCAACTTGCCTGGTAAATCTTAAGAACAAAAATTTTTATTATACTACTTATTTGCATCAAGGAAATACTGTATGTGCCTTATGCATGCAATGCATATTATTTAATGCCTACTGTAGACATCAAAACTCACATGACATTAATAAAAGTACCTCATTCATTAACCAATATCCTATACAATAAGATAATCGGACACTACCCCAAGCCTGTGAGTGCTAGCCATAAACCACAACTGTACAAGTATGTTACCTAAAGATGTAGGTTTATTCTCAATTTCCTTTGTCTCCTAGCCCAAATTCATGAATAATCAGGGCTAGAAGACAAAGAAAATGGGGAATCAACCTAATGTGGGTTAAAAAATTTTAGTTACCTGAATTTAATTTTGAGCTGTAACATAATCATACTGTCAGCTTTTTTGGTAGCCTGGAACCAGTCTCCACAGTGGGGGAAAAGGTGAAAAAAATTCAACAAAGACAGAAAAATTGGAGAGCCAGGTAGTCTGGTATCATGGATAGCGGACCATCAAAGGCATGTCTCCAGGCTCCACTGCCCTTTCCCCCTCCCTCACCCCATTTTTCCCTTTTCTCCAATGCAGAGCCTGGTCCCAGGCTACTTTTTTGGTTTGGTTTTTGTTCGTGTTTGCAAGCAAAACCCACGAAGAAAATAAATAGCTTCCCAGCATAATCTTTTCTGCAAAATTCAAGATTTCCTGGTCGTCCAAAGGCAAAAGTGAGTCATCAGAAGCCATTACATTCTCCAAAAGCATAGGCTCTATATGTACGTGGAACTGTCTACTTCTTCAGTTTTAAAATAATATTATCAGCCTTAATTCCACATGTATACATATATAAAGTTGTGTACTCACTTGGTTTTTCCAGGTGTTGACTGTCGAATTAAACCATTGAGGACACGGAGTTGCTGTCTGCATGCCTGAATAAAAGAATTTAATTCAAGTTTTCATGACTTTTCCATCTCAAAGGTAGCTATAAGCAGATAAACTTTCAAAACTTCTTTCATTGTAAGTATATAGCTTTCAGCTGTATATTGATATGTTAACGTATACATTATGTCGTTAATTTTACAACTCTCACCTTTTCATATCTAGCAATGACATCAAAGATATGCCTTGTATCAGGAAACGATGTCAAGGCACTCATGAATTCTTCAAACAAGCTTGAACTGGCTGCAAGAGAAAGAAAATGGCCATATCTATAAAGATACCATGAAACTGCAAAAATAAGCCCCTCCATGTACAAGCCCCTCCAAATATAAGCCCCCCAAAATCGTAACGCAAAAAAACCCTCCATTAAATCACCTCTCCAAATATAAGCCCCCTGGGGGGCTTGTACTTCTGGAAGTTGCCCTCGAAAATGCAAAAATGGGAAATTTCCTTCCCCCTACAAGCTAGCCCAATCAAATTTGAAATGCAAATTTCCTTCCGTACATAAGCCCCTCCAAAAATAAGCCCCTCAAAAAGGGCCTTTGAAAAATATAAGCCCCGGAGCTTATTTTGAGAATTTTAAGATATTCTAATAATGCTGATCAGTTCTTTCAAAGAACAACTGACATCTTTAGAGCACAATTGGCCTGCAAATATTATGCCATCTGTCTTCACATAAGAGAAGTTCATGTTCTCTTCCAGGGCTGTGGTTAATTTTTGAAGTACAATGTACCAAAGAAATGGAAATAGTAGCCATGGAATCTAGAATTTTCTAGAAGTTAATCTAGAGTTAATTAAATAGGTAAATTGTAGACTAACCAGGTAGTCATATAAAACCTGAGCAAGATACCTGATACCTCACCAGGGACCAGTTGTAAACATGTATACAATATATACACTTTGCAGCCTTGAACTCTAACTCACACTTAAAAAGAAAAGGTATGAGAGAAACGCAAACTTTGAATACGAGTAACTAGGTGGGGGACCGGACCGGACCACTATGACTAACTCTTTTATGGTATTTGACGGCGAGTTTTTACAGCTGTATGTTAAAGCGCCCCCCCTCCTCTTCCAATCTAACAGTTGTATAATAAACCCCGCCACCCCCGTTATAGCCCCAACTGAACCCTAACCTAAATGAGAGCCCCATCTTTTACCAGAGAAAAGAGAAAGGTATCAATCTGTTCACTCTTAGATCAAGTTAATATGGCAAGTGGCTCTAACTGATACATACAAATGTATAGATTGCCTCAGTTGCCTGACCTACCAGCAATAACAGGATCCTTTTCTGTTACGATGCTGACATTTTCTGTCAGCTGTGATAATTCTACAGCACTTCCAGGAGAATAATCCTAAAAAATATATGAGGTGAACAAAACAAAAATAGACCAAGTTAAGTGCACAAGTACAGCAATTTTATAACATAACAAGGTTAAGTTTGGTCAAAAGTTTAGACTTGGGGGAGGTAATTACTGCTTAGTCCTTCTCTCACCACTGGCTGGGGTCATTTAACAGCACTTTAAAGTTCAACTCCTCAGCCAATTTAGACAGGTTTATACAAGTTTATTTGGCCAGGACTATATCTTTGCAAATGTCACAATGTAATACTTTCTCACACCTGGAACATAATATTGATGTGCCAGCCAGAACACATACACTTTAACTAGGCAGTGCAGTTCTCTGGCATGTATGCAACTCTTTTATGTCAAGTTACCATTTAAGAAAACCATTCTGTTATAATTGCACAAGTCTGAAGAACTGTTGAGTGAAAAATTAGGGAGCTTTAGCATCAGTGATGGTGACATCAGCAAAAATGTCATTTCTAAAACGAATTTGTGTTTTTTTAACTTTGTCATGTTTATTTCAATTCACTGAAAATGTCAAATGTTGGCAAGTTCCCCTTGAATCGATTTCTTGAGGACTGCACTCAAGTTTAGAAAGAGAAAGAAAAATTTGTTGTCGATTGTTTTCTTCCTCCACAAAACGTGAAATTAGGCATTTTCATGTCATAGTCATGCAGTGACAGGAAAGAAATGTACAAAAAAGTATGCTGCACCTGCAATGTTACTACATTTTGCTCAATGAACCTATTGCTTTTTTTACATTTTCATTGCTGACGTCATCTTCATTGCTAGTCCTTCCCTATTTTTCAGAGTTTACCCTTTTATAATACCGGTATGTAAAAAAGTTTAGAGACATCCACAACACATAAAAGTTACTGCTGTATCCCTGATAACAATAATTACCTCAGCAGCTGGAGCAATGGGCTTACTGGGAGTTAAAGGTTGGCTCAATCCACTGTCCTCCATGAATGACAGTGATCCCTGTTATACAAATAAGTAATACGGGAATCATTTATAACTTTATGCCTTGTTTCATGCTTCGTCAAGTGAAGCAATACAATGAGTAACTGACCAGACATTAATATTAATTTTTAAACATACCCTAAAAACAGAAACATAAACACAAGATTTTAAACCAGAAGAGGATATGAAACTTTAAAAATCATTATTGACAGTCGTAAGTTTAAAGAAAAAAACAGTAAATTTAATATATTAATAAAAACTACAAAGTACCAGTGTGGAGTAGGCTGACATTGGTGGTACTCGAGAAGACAGGGGTCCGTGTGGAATTCCTGCACTAATGAATGAAATCTCCTACAACAAGAATATACACTCTTAGAACTGTAAACCTGCATGTACAACATCCAACAACAATATAATCCTTAAGGTCTAGAAGTAACTTGTGAGACAGAATACATGTACAAACAAATGGCATGAACATCTTTTTCTTTCCTTTTTTTCTTACAACAAAATTTATTTAAGTTCAGTAAAAGAGTTGAGATGATCAATGAGGAACATAACATCTCCAAATGTGTTTAGTATTATTTTTATAGTATTGTACCTGATTAGTAACATCTGTTTCTGCAATTGAAGAAGTACCACTTGGGGTATCTAAATTTAACAAGAAGACAAGATTTATTCCATTGGTTCATAATATAAAACTAATTTTGAATAAAACGGTTTACAAATACAAAGAATTTGTCACCGACTGTATCATGAAAATAATAAAAAAATGCTGTGTGCATCTGATAATTAATACATGTAAATTACTTAACAATTAATGAATGAGGCTGAGTATCATATGAAGAATTATGGAGATCCAGGAGGATGTTATCTGTCGAGGCCGTAGGCCGAGGCGAATAACACCCTCCGAGATCTCCATAATTCTTCATATGATACGAAAGCCGAATTCAATAATTGTTTTATTATTCATTCAAAATAATTCATAGTTTAAAAACATGGCTAAAACATGCTTACCTCCATCGATCCACCGATGTTAAGTTCATCTTCGATTGTGCATGTTTAGGGTTGTTCAGCTCTGCAAATATTTTAATATTCTTTAATTTTAATATTCTCCAAACAGCAGATGTCGCCCTTCGAGTTGTCTTCTTGCTGTTCTTTCCACGTTTTTAGCTATTTTTTCGCCTAGTTCTTACTCTTGAAACGAGTGAAATGTCCGCCATTTTTCATGTTCACAACCAAAACAACTTAACTCAACCCAGGTCTTCTCGGTTAATGGTGCATTAACCTGCAAGAACGCTGCATTTTTGACGTCATTTCCTCGCTAAACACAAAATTCTTCCAAATTTGGTCATCAGTAACTGGTTATGGTGAATTAAACGTGTGCTTTTAGCCAATCAGAATCGGGGAAATATTTTGAATGAATAATAATAACTCTTAATTAGCTTGTACATCATTACCACACATGTACATGAATAATACAGCGTGTAGGCGTACTTACATGCACTGTGCCTGAGTGCTGATATGGGCTGCTGGCGCAGTGGTGTTGGAGTGCCAACAGTCCTTAAAAGTGATGATGCTGTGTGTAATGGCTGTCGTGGGGTGGCAATAGCCTCATCCAATAAGTGAAGAGCTGGTTCGGCATTAAGGAAAATGAAAACATAGCCTTGCAATATTTTCAAGCAATTGCTCCTTTTACCTGTTCAACATGAGGAGGTTATAAAATTCACTGCAAATTACCAGTATAATAATTATTATTATGTTATCAATGTACAAACACACAATTTGTTATGTAACTTTTTTAGGCATTGGATGAATTTACATCACCAAGAAAGAGAGAGAGATAATGGTTGTTCAAGGTAATGAACAAAAAACCATGACATACAAAAGTCATGTTAGAGGTCAAAATTAAGTCCAGGTTAAAATTTTTTAACCTAGGTTGATCCTCAATTTCATTTGTCACGAGACTGAAGAAATTGAGAATCAACCTAGACTGAAAAATTTTAACCTGAATTTAATTCTGACCTGTAACATAAACACCTTCAAAACTGTAAAAATAAGGCTACTCAAACAAAGGAAGAAGAAACCAGCTGACAACACAAACAAGACACAAACAACAAAAAACTCACTCTACCCAGCAAGCAGCTGTTTCTCCACCAGACACTATGCCAAAAAGGGTTTAAAATTGCAACTGGTTGAGACACCACTTCTTACGGGATACAGAAACAGAAAACAGTCTGTACATGAACTACTGTTTCAGTTGTTATAAATAAAACTATTTTTCATTGCAACAAGGATACATCTTTTGATATGGCTTCTCCGTTTTAATGTGCTGCTAACATTTTCCTACAACAAGTGATAAAAATAAATCTGTTATTTTGTTACAGTTATGGTGAGTCCTGGGACTTACATACGTATCTTGCGAAAAATCATCCAGTCCAGAACCAATGAGTCCCAGTTCAAAAAACAATGAATCCTACATTGAAAATGCTTGAGCTTTTATGTAACCAGACAGTTAATCTGAAGACAGACTCCAAGACTCCGTATTACAGTATACTGAAATTAAGATACATGCATAGTCCTTCTATTTAAAGCATAACAAAGCTAAATGAAATATACATTATTAAACCAGAACCAAAATAACTGCCACAGAAATAACATTAACAGGATATTCTCCAAAAACTAATCTTCATATCAAACAACTGATCTCAGCATCCTATGGGATACATGCAATGAATTAATTTACATTTTTGAGAATTTTTATGCATCAGGGATGCAGGACACAGAGGTAACAATATCACCGTAAAATGCTATTGTTAGTATTCCCTGTCACAGTAACAACAGGAAAACAAAATCTAAATGATGATTTTGCATCATAAAGCTAATTAATGGCAAAAAATTTGTTTACCTCTCTAACTTTTGTTACTTCAGCTGGCATAGGACCAAATATCTGTCTAATGTCTGATCTGCCAACACAAAAATCAAAACATGATAAAATGCCTTTTAATGTAAGTTGTACTTCAAAACTTTTCTAAAATAATATTAAAAATTTTAGCCTGCAAACGGCAGACGTTTCTCCTCGCTCATCGCCGCTGAGGGACTTTTCACAAGGAGGAACGTCTGCGACTTAGCGACAGAAATTCCATACTGGTGACGTAAATCAATGTTTACTTAATAAATCCAGTAGTCATGGGGTTCCAAATGCAGATTTGTTCAATTTTATGTTTCTTCTGGTCAATTTTAGAAAAGTGTTGTGTTCATCTGCAAATGAGCTCTAGCAAAACTCAAATGCTTCTTCAAGAGGAGACTATATTCCACAAATATGGACTGTTTTGTTAGGGATTCATCGCGTTTACATTTGACCTTTGCCACGTTTTGTACTTTGTCTGTCATTCGTAAACAATAGTAGGCTAGAACAATGAAACAACTCCGTCAACCAATTAGCGCTTCTGACCGGATTCTGGACGGATTTTGCGTCATTAGTATGGAATTTCTGTCGCTGAGTCGCAGACGTTCCTCCTTGCGAGACATAAAACACTCTGTTTGCCTCCTAAACTTTGCATAAACCAAGAGCATTCGAAAACAATTACTGATGCCAAATTTGGGGTGAAAATAGAGTGTACATGAATAATTAATGTATGATTCAAAAATAGTCAGTTTACACCAAAGTGGAACCATATTTAAAAACTGTTTAGATAAAAAACATGGTTTAAAAATAATATTATTTCCTTCATAAAAGCTGTTTACAAATTTTTGTCAACAACAAATAAGCACAAACAAACCACAAGTGAATTAAATCCTACAATGTATGTGAAAGCCTGTACACGTAGTTCTTAATTTAAGGTGCTAAAAAACGAGCAACAAGAAAACACACAACTTGTCCTGCAACATTGCTGCAAAATGAGTTGAATAGCGATGCTGCACATTTTACCACCCACGTCAAACCTGTCTTGCAATAAATCAAGTTGTTAACAGATTTGAACGTGGGCGATAAAACGCACAACATCGATTTGCAGCAGTGTTGCAAAACAAGTTGAATGTTAGGCTCAACTACCAGCCGCTGTCCAGGAAATGAGCACACACTCCTCCCCGAGAGAGTGGCAGAGATCAAGTTTAGTTGCATGTTTTTGTCGCCCATTTTACCAAAGCTTTAACTAAACATGCTTCGTTGGAAGCGTGAATAGTGCTTAAGTCAGAAATACAAAATGTACAATATTATTCAAACCTTTGAGATTGCCCTCTAGCTTCTCTTTGTGTGTCTACTGCTTTGTTCATTGCTTCTGGATCAAAATTGTGTCCTTGCTGGGAGTACTAATAATTTAAGAATATGGAAGCAAGTTTCAGAGAAGCATGGAAAACTTTCTTCAAAGAACAGTGCACATACATTTTTGTATACAGTAGTGTTAATTTGAAATCTGAAAGAGTAAAAATTGCGAAGGCAAAAGTTAAGAAATGTTTTACTGGGAAGTATTTCAATCAACACTTAGACAACCCTAGTGTTATTTTAGGAGAAATGTTTACATAGATCTCTTGACCTAATTTATTACAACCATCCAAACATGCATAATTCAAACTTGTGTAGCAGGTAGAGAATCAGAAGTTGAAGCCATGAACAGAGTCAAAACAGGAATGTATAATAAATGTATACGTATAGTGCTGAAAGGCCCCTGTCCACACTTATGAGTTTAGGCCTTCTGTCCACACTAATATGCTGAGTGTTTTCATTGAAAATGCATCAATTTGAAAATGCTCTTGAAAGTGGATCAAAACAAAAATGCATAAACACTGACACACATGTACATATCATATTCGTGTGGATGGTCAAAAACATTCGAAAACACATCAAAATGAAAACGATGACCACCAATATCACAGGTAGGTGTGTTTGCAGCAAATGCATAGAGTTCAAGTTACATCATACTGTGCAATTCTTTTGTTTTCAAACATGTTAGTGTGAACAGTCAAAAGGATTAAAACAGTTGTGTGGACGCGAATCGATCAATGAGTTTACAATGACAACCAAAATGCATACTTTTGAGAACGCATTAGTGTGGGCATGGTCTAAAGCTTCCCTAAATTGGTCTAACATTATGTTAATACAACTATGATAGTGAAATGGGGTTTAAGTGAAGAAGCATTCTCTGATCTCACTCTTATCTACCCAGCCCTGGATATGAGGTTTCTACTCAGCAATACTATTCAGGCTTAAACAAAAAATTAACAATATAACTACCGTTAAAATATAGATTTACCTTTCAAACGCGAAGAATTGAAAATAGTTTTGGGTGAACAAGAACTAAAGGGGTGGTTTGCCGCATAGAAGTTAACGCTGCTATTTCACTGATCGAGAGAGAACTCGAGTTCGCGCACATGTCCACTTTTCCACCGCTGTTCTAAGCCAAATTATCCACAAACTCACGACGTGACTTATCATTTTTCACGTTAGCTTAGGCGCGAAATACTCGTGCAAATGTAAGCCACATAAAGCCACACACATGTGTCAAAAAACCAAAAAACATGTGATTTCGTCAAAATACCTGCCAAATATAGTTGATTGTTGAATCGCCAGCGTAGAATTCTGAACTTTGACGTTGTGAGCCAGATGACGACCTACTTCCTTTCCCATCTCTCGATTCCATTTTGATTGCTTTGCACCAAAAATTCAAAGATTTTAAATCAATTTCCTTCCCATGCAAAAGCGATCCTTGCCGCCATTTTCGTCTGTCTGGTGAAAACGTGGGAGTCTGGACCGACTTGTGCTCAGTAGTTTTCCGTAATCAATTCCGCAAAGAACGCCTGGTGATTTTTATCTCCTCGTGTTTTGTGGTAGACATGACTGGCGTAAGAAGAAAGAAAGCACAGCGAAAAAGGCGAGTAAATACCACTAAAGTCGGATCAAAGAGAAAGAAGAAGGACAAAAAGGTGAAGGTGTTAAAGTAAGTCAATTTTCTGTCCTAAAAAGAGACAATTGGCCAGGGTATTTTGTAGTTCAAGATGGTCGCCTTGCACGCACGCGTGTCCAAACAGATAATTTTCAACATTTTGTCTTTTGGATAGTTTTCTTGTGACTGCAATTTCTCACTGCCTATTTCTGGAAAAATTGAGTATCAAACAGCTCAAAACCTCTACTGTGCTCTTTAAATCAAATACTCGAGAGTTTTCTCGTCGATGTTGGATCTGGTTTTGAGGTTTTTACACATACTGTATACAGTATCTTTTCTGAACCTGTTACAAGATAAGACTGGAAATTTCGGATGATGCTGTGAGTTTGACATGTACGCACTGAAATATAGGAAGTTTTATCTCGGCTTCTGGAGACATTCATGTATTTATTCCATGTCCTATAATTGCACTGCAGCCAAACGTTGCGTAAGAACTGGGATCAGAAGAAAACGCTGAAGCAGAATCTCCAAGATCTTGGTTTGGCTTTTGATGCCAACAAAGCAGTGCCACTTCCAAAATTAAAAGTTAAGGTGAGTTATCGGCATTATTAGATATAATATTAAGTTTTATTAATGTGTGTGATACAGCGGAACCCTGCTATAACAAAGACCCAGTTATAATGAAAAACATCTGAAAGCCCGGCAGAATTACAGTAAAATATGTGGAAACGAAGCCTGCTATAACAAAATCCCCTTTATAACGAATAGATTTTGTCAGTCCCAACACACAATTACCCTGCTGTAACAAATATTTTGTCCGGTCGCTCACAGCAGTCAGTAAAAAAAACAGATTTGAGTAGAAATCACAGCTTGATTTAATTGAAAGTGTTTTTGAATTTGATGTCTTGATTGTCAGCACCTTACACTTACATTGTACAGTATCAAATGAATAAAAATAATGTTCTCCACGTGCAGTATTGAATTTTTGGTAATTGTTATTTAATAAATTACCCTGCTGTAACAAATATTATTGCTGTTAACCAGATAATTCATTATAATGGGGTCTTTGCTATATGTAATGAAGACCCCACTCTAACAGGCTTGGCGCACGCTACTGGTGTACACGAGCGTAACACCGTGCCTTATGCACGATTCGCGCTCAAGAAAAGGCACGGTTTTTGTGCCAAAGCACGGGAAAAAAACATGTAAAGGCACAGATTAGGCACACTTTAGGCACAGTTAAGGCACGTTTTAAATATTGCTAAGGCACATTTTAGGCACAGTTTGGGCACAGTTTTGGCACGGTTTAGGCACAAATATTCAACGCTGAGCACTTTTTTGAAAATCTTTGTAACCCGACTTGCAAAAAAGAACAAACTTGGTGCGAATTACAAAAATAACTCAGATCAAACACGATGCAGTTAGAAGTATAGGAAGTGTAAGTTTTGAGCCGCGCCGAAAGTCGGGCAAATTAAAGTGTTCTTCGACAGTCCGTGTTTACTCCGAGGATAAAGTGGAAATTCACACGCGATATGTGCGGTCCGAACCTTTTCGATTGCCATGCAATTTTATAGACTGGCTTTCTTTCGTTTCTAAAAGAAATCGTGAAAGAAAGTCGAAGCCATAATAACAAAAACAAAGCTAAAGAAGTAAGGCACAATAATAGCCAGTAAAAGTGGTAGAAAATACTTTTTGCGATCGCGGTAAAATTGGCCTGAATTTGCATAACAACATGAAAAGTGGTAATTTGAAACCTTCATGCCAACGTGTGTTGTGTTTTGGTACAAAATACGGCTGCTTTTTAAAAATATTTCTCTTACTAAAAAAGTAGAATTTACACTTAGTAGTAAAATAATTCAAGCTGCTTGTTTGTTTTTGTTTTCTGGCTCTGTTAGCAAATTAAGCTTTGATCGTATAATAATCGATGAGAGGTGCCAATTTTGCTTCAAAACTCATCGGCGTGCAATCAATTTTTTCGTTTTCATTTTATAAGTCATATCACAAGTAAATTCTTTTTTTGAATGCAAATCTGCCCTCCTGAAAAAACAAATATTTCGTTCCAACTAAACGCTCCGTTACGACGGGGAAAAGAAGCCCACTTGGAAATTTTTTAACATCAGTGAAATTCTTGAATCGATGAAATTAGCACTTATTTTAAATACGCTAACCTGTTTAAGATTCCTTTTTCCTGTTTGTCGGGGGTTTCCCTGCTGTCTCTAACCGTATTCTGAGTCATGTTATTTCTTATTAGGGGATAAAAAGGTTGTCAGACCGTGTTTCTAGACTTCGTAAATCTTAAAACTGACATAATTGCCGTGCGCACTTTTCTTTCGCTGTGGAGCTCGATAGGCCGCACACGATTTTCCGAGTGATTCAATAGTTTGGCACAACTTGTGCACAGATTAGGCACAGTTTGGGCACAACTTAGGCACAGCTTAGGCACGTTTTTCAAAACTAAAATGCACACTTTATGCGCATCTTAGGCACATTTTAGGCACAAAACCTTTGTGCCAAAGCACACTCTAGAATCCGATTTTCAGTCCAACGCATGGTTTACGAATTTTCACGTTAAAAAATGCTGTCTAACCTTAGCTATTTGATCTTAGCATAAAAATGGGTTTCCCGAAGTCTTAACAGTTAGTCTATAAGGAAGGTTTAACTTATGAGCATTCCAAAAATTATTATTTCTTCTCTTAACAACAAAAGAAAGTCAATCAAAAGCAACCTTTTAAATTGACGTTCGCACTGCACAGAGATCGGATGTAGACAGAACATCTTTCTGAAAACGCCCTAAACTTTGTTGTTTTGCCATTATGTTCAGTAATTTTTAATACAGTTAGTACTCATAAGTCACTGACCTCTGTGGAGAAATTTTTCCAAAGTACCGTTAACAGAAATAGAGAAATCCCACAATATGCGTGGTTAGACTGTAAATGTTACGCGAGCTGTTAAAAAATGGTCCCATTTTGAGCCATATTTTTCATATTTTAATTTTATTTTGGTCTTACAGCCAAAAAAAAAATATTCATTGAAAAGCTGTTTATAAACTTTAACTTCTTGCCAAATATCGATGCGATCTGAGTTTTAATAAGTTCATAAGAGCCAAACGATGTGAGATTCTTAGCCGTGTACACCAGTAGCGTGCGCCAAGCCAACAAACAATTTTTTTGGTACCGTGGCACTTCGTTATAGCGGGTTTCCACTGTATTATTCTTTCCTCTGATTGTGTGTTTCTTGGTGGAAATCCAAATCTATATTTTTAATCTAAAACATCTGCACCAACAGGGGATTCATTAGATTAAATAAGTAAGTCCAGATTTTAAGCATTTATGATCCATCTGTTTCTTAGAGGGGTTGATGATATGTAATGTAAAATGTGTATATGCATCTAGCATTGACAAGCAGTTTTTCTTTGAAAACAGGATTATTATCACCCCACCTTCGCACCCTAATGTCATCACTCTAAAGGTACATTAAAAATACTTTGAAGAATGTTTTTACATTTTCTATGATATTTTTAGAGTCAGCAGTTGGAGGAAACTGAAAAAATGGAAATAGATAAAGAGCCAACACCTGTGATTAAAGGTAATGTTGAAAAAAATGTCTCCATTTTGTTCAAGCAATATTTCATTTGTTAACTACAGGTAGTTCAGTGTTGATTACATTTTATTGCTTAGAGCGGTTTTCATTTGAGTGTCGAAAAGTAATTGGTTTTGCACTTTTTACACGATGCGATTGGCTTAAAAGATTCGCGCCACCTTTTCATCCAATCAGAAGTAAAACCAAAGCCAATTGTGACGCGCTCGCATGCATTTTCCCGCGCTTTGCGTCAGCCACATGTAATTACTTTGAGTTTTGATTGGTTCAATGTATTGTCTGTGTCCTATGTGATTGGCCAGAGTAATTACTTTGGTGTTGGTTTTACGACACTCAAACGAAAACCACTCTATTTTTTCATATTGATGTAAACCTTTTGTGTTACTGTCAAGAGCACAAGCATATCTGAAACCTTCCAAAATTAATAAAATATTATTAACCTGCTATTTTTTTATTAATTTATAAAAAGCAGCATCCATAGCACACAAGCATTGAATTTTGTTGCCATGAATTATTAAAGTTGTGAGCAAACCACAATAGACCTCTTTAGCTTGTATACATGTTTTGTTCTCCCAGTACAGGTCACGTGATAATACTCCAGAGAACAGTTTCTTTCAGATTTTGTCTTAGTCACGTGCATATCTATGCATAATTTACAAAAAGGTAAAGGGTTAATTTCCCCTGGGACCTCTATTGGAAAAAACAAAACATACAAGCTAAAGAGGTCTATTGATTAAAACAAAATGGAAAGGTCAGGAAAACCAATTTTTAGTCATCGCTGTTATTTTTACCAATGCTAGAATTTGAACAAATAGCTGCAAATGAAGTCAAAGGTGAAAGACATATTTCCCCGGGTGAAGCACAGTTTCTTTGGCAACTTATTCAAGACCATGGAACAAACTACAAGGTATGAAATTTGATAAAGACAGCAAGGATGGTTTTCCTGAAGTTGCATTTAAATTCATAAGTCATAAAATTATTTCTTTATGATAAAATAGCTGCATCTGCTTCATTCGTGGGGACTCCATGTAAAAAAGATCAGGGTGATTGTTGGTTACTTTTATTTAAGCCCCACCCTGATATATGCCAAACTCTGGAAGTCTGGCCTCTGTTGTTAAAAAAGAGAGAATTGGCACAACCCAATAGATAAGTATCAGGGAAAATGCAATTATTGCAGTTATTGCATTGTCCTCTGGACAGAGACAGAGATTTAACCAGTGGGTAGTGCTATCCACCCATTGAACAACTGGGGCCTGAAATCTCAAAACTTTCTCTTTTTCACCATCCTCCACCCCCCTCCCCCCATAATCAACCAGCCTTACCCCTCACAAGGGGTAGAGAATGGTAAATTCAAGACTTTGCAAGACTGCGTGACCTGGGTTTCAAAATTCGAGACCAAGACTTAGGAAAAATCGAGAGTCCAAGATGCAAAATCACCCAAAAAGGAGACTTTGAGAGCTATCACAAACGCTTCCGAGATTTTGAGATCAGGCCAAAGTTTTCCGAGAACCACATTTTTCGAAGAACCATCCTATACCCCTCTCACACACACAAATTTGCAGTTGTCAAATCGCTTCTGTCATAAAAGATCTCAAGACAAAAGTACACCGTATTTTGACATTGCAGACACTCTGTAAATACTATATTTTGATTCTGGCTTTGAAGTTAATTTTTCAAAAGCCATGTTTAGTGGGAAGATATGGTGACCCTGTACATGTATGTGGTGGTTTGCCCTCAATCCAGGACACCTCCAGATAATTTGACAGACTTGGCATCATTGCCCTGAGTGCAATGTATGAGGTTTCAGAATCAGCATCTTGAAGGCTTTCATATATATCATATTTGCCTAACTGACTTTCTTTTTTAAAGGTAAAAAATAAGGAGTCCTTTTTTTTCCATCAATAGCTCAAAATAGTCATCTAATTAACAAACCTGAGGCCAACAATGGGCTCATACTACCCCCCTCTCTTCATCAGTGCTCTGTTTTATGGGTTCTTAAATCTACTTAAAGCTACACAGAAAGGGAAGAAGTCTTAAGAAGGATTTGTGCTCACACCTGGCAATGAACTCAGGACCTATCGCGCAGAAGGCAGGGAATTAACCAACTGCGCTAATCCTTCCTCCTTACAGGCTATGTCAAGAGACAAGAGAAATTACTACCAACACACACCAAAGCAGCTGAAGAGGAAATGTGAGGCATTCTTAAGTTCAAAACAAGACTTCAGTGGATGTTTGGAAAATGTTGGTTAGGGCCAATGAAATATTGTAAATAGGGACAAAAGTGACTTGAAAGTTAACCTTGAAACTCCATTGCTGGCCTTCTTACTTAATTTAAGACAAATGTTATTAACAGAAATTTCCAATTTTTATTAAACTAAAATCACTCAATGGCTGTAAATATCGTAAGACTGATAGACCATAGCCCGATTCTCAGATATCAGAGGTTGTCCGCAGCCCCTTTGCTTATCTCCCTAGTGAAGGGGCCACAAACAACCTTGGACGTCTGAAAATCAGGCTAGATAGACCATCACATGACTGATAAGCAACATCAAAAGACTGAGAAAGATATTGAGATAATGTCCAAGTTTTTTGCTCCACAGCACCCCTTTCATGACCCATGNTCCGCAGCCCCTTTGCTTATCTCCCTAGTGAAGGGGCCACAAACAACCTTGGACGTCTGAAAATCAGGCTAGATAGACCATCACATGACTGATAAGCAACATCAAAAGACTGAGAAAGATATTGAGATAATGTCCAAGTTTTTTGCTCCACAGCACCCCTTTCATGACCCATGTAGGCTTCTGTGTTTCGCCACCAGGGCAAGGCTATAATAAGCGGGTTCACTTTGGCTTGGGCTCCTTCATTGTTGCTCTGGGAGATTACCCTCCAGCCTCCAGTTGTTCCAAAATTGGACAGCACTATCCACCGAATAACTCATATCCAGTGAGTATGTATTAGGGAAACCAACGTGTTATCCAGTAGACAGAGATTTAGCTAGTAGATAGCACCATCGAGGCTCTTTTAGGGTAAAATTCCGACAAGCGACATGGGCTTGAAAAAGTGATATGGGACAGCAGGAATGGCGACAAACGACTCGAAGATGGGTTGATACTGCGACAGCAACAGACAAAAGCGCAAATGGGAAAATGCCAACAGCGACATGGCTTTTTCCTCAATTCGCAAAACGACAGGTTTTGAAATTCAGACTTGGGACATACGTAACCCCTCTAAAAGGGCTTCCCTATCCACCTTTTGAGCAATTGGGACCAATCCTGTTTTTTCCCCTCCCCCGGCCCAACCAAACTCCAAAAAAAGATTGTTGGTACATCACGTAAAGACCAGGGGCCCGTTTCTCGAAAGTCCCGATAATTAACGGGCCCGGTAAGCTGTCTCCGTTTACATTGAAGATCGAGGTTTCAATAGTTTTGCATCTGACATGATAAAACTATGAGTCAATGAAACAAAAAGCAGTTGTTTGCTGGCCAGGACCCGCGCTCTTATTCTTTATTTTTCGGTTTGAATATTTGATTTCGGGCCCGAAAAATTACTGGGACGTTCGAGAAACGGGCCCCTGAACCGCAAACGCTCACCCACCAGTATTGTTTAAGACTCCCCCAAACCATACCCTGTTAGGTGGCACATGCCCGTTTAGGCCAAAAGAGGGAAGTGTTCCCACCCCACTTCCCCGCTGGGGCGTCATTATTGCGCGCGGCCTATGCGTTTCAGGCCGCGTGGTCAGAGCGAGTTTTTTTCTGGCCGTTCGTCTCCGATACGTCACCGAAATGCATTGACCGAGAAGGCCTGGGAAGACGCCAAAAGTCAGACCCAGACAAGACAATCCTCTCCAGTAAAGAACTTGAGGTAAAACCAGCAAACAAAAAACCAGGTCGATTACAAACATAAGTTTGTTTATTTTTTGTCAAGATGCCTTGCAACGTATAAAAAATAATTTCAAAATTAGTCCTATTTCTATAAAACATCGTTTATGTACCGTACTTTGTCACACAATCGATTAATTTATCAAATTTACTTGACAAATAACAAATGGATAAAAACTTAACTTTCGTTTGAACGTACCACATTCTTTACGTTTGAAAATTGGTAAATTAAATCGCTCTAAGCATGCACAGGAGACAGAAGCAAGAGAAATAACAACGCTTTGAAGGAAAACCTGGGGTCAATTAAAGTGTAACTTCAATAAATAGTTTTTTTGTATTTCATGGAATCTTTCAAAAATTTTTTCCAAAGCAGCACATAGGAGGAGAGTCGATTATTACTCACGTTCCTAATGCTGACCTACAGTAATTCTCGATCGTTCCATGCGTGTTAAACAGTAAACCTGATAACACTTTTTATTATTTATGTCCGCGCGTTAAAGGTTGCGCTAATTCCACGATCCTTTGGGAAGCATTTGCCTTTTTTGCCGATTCGCTCACAGTAAACGCATCAGGATTAAATTGAACGTGGTCCATGGTCTCTCGAATGATAGGCTTGGACAAAGTTTGGGTCCTCTCTGAGGCTATTGCTCTAAGCGTGTTCCTGCTAACCGGCCACTCCACATCTCTACAAGGTAAATATCCCTCAACCGTCTGCTTCGCTTTTGCCAACTCCTGCACTCTTGCAGATGCCACAGTCCGTCTGCTTGCCGAGGAAACGCGCCATGTAGGTTCTCTAACAGGCCCATCTTGTCGTGTTTTGGGTCGCGCGAGTTGCTCCACGCGCGCCGAGGACACAGCTCTCTTAGCTGGCTCACTGACAATCCAAGGCACCACGCGCTCGGGTTGATACTGGTGATGAGTTTTCTTTGGAGTAGCCAGTCTTAACGATCTGTCCCGCTCTTCGGCCGTTTTGGCTGCCTCGCTAACGTGCCAGATAGGAGAACTTCTTCCGCAGCTGAAGATGTAAGCCTCCCTGGAAAAAAAAGAAAGTCAAATGAGCTCAAAATGGGAAAATGAATAAGTATTTTTCACTGAACGACGACCTATATACATTGTATACAGTCAGTTTTCTCTAAGACGGAAACCTTTGGGAGAGTCTTGGGACCGCCAGGCACTATAAGTGTCCGTGTCAGGGAGATGTCCGTCTTATAGAGAGTCAATTAAAGGGAGTAAAGAAAGGCAGGGACTAGCTCTAAGTGTCCGTTTTTAAGACAATGTTAAGAGGTGTCCGTCTTATTGAGGTGTACGTGAAGAGAGATTCGACTGTATACTCTCTCGAACTCTTCACTATGGCCCAACACATCGGCCACTTGTTCTTGTCACAATTAACGGACAGAAATCCATTTACTCAATTTTTTTTAACCGCTCTATAATGGCCATGCATCTCTCAACAAAGTGAAAGGCGTCTACCGGACAAAATGATCCTTACAGTCAGTACGCGGAGGTCATCAATACTCTCATTTCATCAGCATTTTTGAGGCCATTTTTGTTGAAAGGAAGTTCCACGAGTCTCTGTTTTAGTGACATACTTTGTTCAATGTGTTAAGTATTGATATGCTGAATAGTTATGATAGATTGGATAGTTCTTGAACTGACTACACAGGGTACTCTCTAGGCACTTCATAAAATCCCGTCTCTAATTTGCGACTTTGTCTCTATAAATTAATTTTAATAAAGGAACAAGACAGCGCGTATTTTCTCCTAAATAGGGTTCTAAAAAAGGAAAATGTTGTCCTAAACTGAGTAGGGTATTTTTGATTCATTTATTGTCCAAAATTAAACGTGACCTGCATGGCGTGGGAGCTCGGCATGACATAACCGGAAGACTTATTTGGATAATAGGTTTAGTTTTGTGTTATAGACTGCTATCTCTGGACTGCTATTGAGTTGGTAAGCGACGGTGTTCTATCAATAGAGAATGAGCTTCTCTCTTGGTTCTATAAAATTCGTCATTACATAAATCAGTGAAATTAAAAAAGGCTGAACATAGAAGTCCAGGCCCTAGCTAGATGATACAGGACCATAGACTCGGAGATAGATTTTGTTTTTATAGAGCTACTCTCGTTGTTCTGGTTGATGTTATTTTAGTGTCTGCAGGCAGAATGGTTTACTAAATTGCCTCGCCAAAGTTCTTACTGAAATGGCTAAAAAATTCCAGTTAGATAAGCCTTAGTTAGAGCTAGCGTTCCATGTCATAGTAACGAAACGAATCGAAGTCAAAAAAATCCAATCGCCTGTGTACTGTTTGAATGACAATTTTCTTACACACCACGTTATAATTCTTGTCGGGTATACTGTGTAATATTCCCTTAGACAAACTACATTTTGAAACTTTACCTTTGCGGTTGATCTTGGGGAAAGATGTTAACTTCGCCTCATAAACTTCACAATACTCGATGGTCCCCTCCGACAATAACTAACACAGTAGCCGGGTCAAGTACTCCATGGCAACTGAACGATCACTAACAATTGAATAATTCTGGAATGTCACGCGCGCACACAGAACTGATGTCACAATGTACTCTTACTGGGCTCCGCGTCAGACACAGAGCAGAATCAGAGCAGAATATTAATGCCTCTTTTTCATGTCCACTTTCAGAAGACGGCTTTAAACTTCAAAAAAAGTTCTACTGTAAGTTAGGCCTCACGTTTTTTGATAATGAAATTTTGTTAACAGGTTTTTAATTGTTTTGCTTTTTACAAAGAGCTAATTATCACCAAATTCAAGTGTTTTGAAATTACTATGAAACCAAGCGTGAATGAGCTATTGTNGTTCTACTGTAAATTAGGCCTCACGTTTTTTGATAATGAAATTTTGTTAACAGGTTTTTAATTGTTTTGCTTTTTACAAAGAGCTAATTATCACCAAATTCAAGTGTTTTGAAATTACTATGAAACCAAGCGTGAATGAGCTATTGTAAAAGAGACTGTTTAGAAGAACATTAGTTTCAAAGTCTGATCAGTTTGATATAAAAACAGGAATTTTTTTGTCAAAAATAATTAGTTTTGTAGTTGTCAACAATTGGTAACCAAAGGTCATGGTATAGGGGTGCATGAACCAGAAGCTACCGAACTTTTTCAGAAGTACATTTTAAAATGACAACACTACATATTTTTTATGGAAATGAGACAAAAATAACAGACAACAGTGAATTTGACACAGTGGTTCCCTGGTGGTATTGGTAATATATTCCACACTATATATGAAGCAAATTGCTATGAAATACAGCCTGTATGCTCTTGAATATCACTCTTTTCTCTCGAATAAATGTTTTATTTCTAAAAGCTTGAAAACATTCCTTTATATAATGAGTTTATTTTTTGTTTTTCATTTGCATTACATACTTACAGCTGTTTTTGGTCTGCTTTTTTGTTTTTAACTGAGTGATTTTGTCATTTTCGAGAGAGGATTGTAACATTTAGTTATCTATCTGTCTAATCCTTTCCATAAAATCAGCCCCTGGTCAGGTAGGACCGAGAAAGCGGCGAAAATCTAGCCTACGGCTAATCAACTAAGTACACCTCCTCTGGCCAGGATCATTTTATATACCATCAGAAATTCAACATTTTTTCTAAGAAAGTCGTTTAACTACCAGTGTGCATTTTTTTCGTTTCTAGAGAGTAGATTTATGAAACGTAGATGTGATTCAAATATTATTATTATTGTGAACAAAAATGTTGGTTCGGTGATGAAAACATACCAAAAATGATCGATTAAGCGCCGCGGCGGTAATTTCATTTTCTCTGTTATAGGTGCGGGGCTCATACGAGAGCGGTGCTTATTTCAACTACGGCTAAAACACTGAGGGGAATATAGAGAGAATTAAGAGAGGTGCGTACTTGGTGTGCACAATGGTATAAAATATGTACACCTCGAACTGTTATATGAATCTGGTTTCAAGAGTTTCCCTACATAAAAGCTTTAGAACTCACGAGTTGGTCGAGGTCTTATTTCTCAAGTGATATCTAGCGCCGTGACAAAGGTGGGGCGTTAATTTCTAAATACCTGTATTAGCACCGCGGCGGTTATTCGAGAGCGGCGTTTTATCGATCGTTTACGGTAGTCTAACATCTGACTTAAATCCCGGGTTAGAAATAATCAGTGGCCCAAATATTATTTTAAGTCATTAACTGTTAGCAAAATTGAAAATGAGTTGGAACGTCGGTTTGTTCGAACACCGTCTTAACTATGTTTTCCTAAACGGTACTTAATTTTTCAACCCCAAAGAACGAAAACAGAATAATTTTCGTGCCAAAAGAAAAGAAAAAATCTTGAGACGAAAATTGAAGTTAGTGAAAAACTTTTTGTTTTACCCAAAAGGCTTTATAACTAGTGCGCAATCTTTACTAAACACAGGGCTGCAACAAAGTCATCTAATTACAAATACAGCCTTTCGAACCATTGATCCCAATAATCAGTGAAGGGTGTCACGAAAATGTTATAAGCATCGTAGTGGAAAGACAGTCTGCGGAAATGTTTGTTCAGGTATTGTTCAGCGTTTTTTTTTATCTCTGAAATGGAAACAGTTCACAGTCTGACGTACAACATGGATCAATGCAGAATGAAGCCTGGCGGAGTTACCTGTATCGAAAGAACCTGTGTTGTTGCGTAGGCAGAGGAATGAACGCGAGCGCTAGCGCCTTGTGCAGGGAGTATGCTTTAGTCGCACGTGTACGTTGGTAAATGTTAAGTTACCTTGGTTCTCTGTGTCCCTCTGGTACCGGCTTAGGCTCGGCCAACTGCTCGAGTCTTGCGGAAATGTTTGCTTTCAGAGCCAGCGGTTTAACCTCCCACAGAACAGAATTGCGACCGCAGCTAAACGAGTATTGTTCCCTAAAAATGGGGAAAGTAGATCATGAGGCTAGGTATGGCAAGCTCGAGTGCGTGTTTTAAAAAAGGTAATTGCAAACTTTCTTGAAACCTCTTTTCAAAAACTTGCCACACGGGTGAAGTGTGAATGGGTGAAGTGTCTTTTAACAGACCTTCTTTTTTGAGCGCGCGTATAAAAATTAAAACAGCGGGTTATTGATTGACTTCTCGCGCTGGTGGTTGGGATGAGAAAAACATGAATAAAATAAAACCTCGGGCTTCGCATTCACTTACGCTCTCGTTGACTTCCTCAAAGGAAAGGCTATGGAAATAGGAAATGAGCGGAATGCAGCACCTGAAAAGGGCGCGCAGGCTAAAATGAAACTACTTTAAATTGCTACTTGATTCTTCTTCGAAGAGATTGGTTTTTTTTAGAATTAATAATTAAAACGTTTGGCTTATTTCCAGGGGCTTCTTTCCTTACTTGAAATTGATTAAGTGAGTTGTATTGTGTGAGACCGTCTGATCGATGCTAGTACCGCACGAGCTATGGCATATCTGATCAACGAAAAACGTACCATGTAACAATCTTAATTAGGGATTTAAATGGCCGAAACATATCATGGACAATGTGTTGAGTGGATGATCTTGTTGGAAATCTTTCTTCGGCGTTGCTAAGGCCATTAATCTCTCTGAAGCATTCGCTGATAGCGCTGCTCTAGATAAAGGCCACATCGTTTCTTGGTTTCCCCAAACGAGAGGCCTAAAAGGCAAATTCTATTCTTCAATATATGTTGGCTAAACAATCAAGCCAATTAGCACTCTATTAAACAGTGTCTTTAGCCTTTTCACAAAAAATGTCATTAGCGCGATATCACTGCATTAAAAATAAAAGTAAAACTTTAACTTAAGTGCAAGGCATTTTTAACAGTATACACTAAATTTTGTCATTTTTTTCAAAAGTTATCCTTTATTCAACCAGGCAGGGGCACCCAACGGCAATTTTCGGGAAAATATCTGTTCGGAAGACGATTTGAGATCTAGAATTTTCGGAGCAATTGTTGTAAAATTTCTTGCTTGCCTGCCTCTCCTAGGATTTTCGAACATTTACAAAATGGTATAATTACCCATTTTTAACGGATTTTGACCCTAAAAAAGGCCACCTAGAATTTTCGGGAGCCTTTTCCTAGCTGAAATTTTCGGGAAAGTAAGTTTTTATCCCTATAATTTTCGGATCACTAGACTTTCAGCTAGGATATCCGAACAGATGAAAAGTTTTTAGGGGATAAAAATATGCCTATATCTACCGTTTGAACACTAAAATACGTTCAACAATGCCATGTTAAGTGGTTTTGAACCGGGTTTTGAACTATATCCTCGTTGGGTGCCCTTGACCAGGCAACGAACAACAGCGCTTGATTTTGAAAAAAGGAGAGAATACCCTTGTTTTCAGATAAAATGTGTTTCATACATTTCAATAATCATGAAGAAAAGCTAAGCAGAAATTTCTAAGGGCAAAGTGCTAAATCTAGAATAAGTTAGTTATCTACTTATAGGTTACATATTTAACTAAGCCTTTGCAGGAACTTTTCTAATTATACTAGATTTTTGCATTATAAACACCACTGAGTACGCCTTTTATGTAGTTTCCCTTACCAAAAGCTTGTCATCCATACAGCCTTGGACTCCTTGGGTTTTGCTAGTTTGACCAGGCGAGTGCTGTTAAAACAAAAAAATAAAATATATCTCCAGAAAAAAGGAAAACTGATCGGATTGTTTGAGACAAATAAGATCGAATTGAACTGGGAACCAAAGCAAATAGTTACTTACATGCCGGCATCTCGAGTGGCCTCCGTGAAGTCGGGTAGCGGGTGATTCACTCTAACAACTGCAAAGAAAGGAAAACACGAGACATTGAAGATCTCGGTATTCCTGGTAAAATCAAGATTAAGTAGCTAGTTAAACATTTCTTGGGGAATCCATTCATACTTACATGCCACTTCTGTCATGTTTACAGCAGCAGTTGCAGCAACAGAGAACTTTTAAACAGATTGTAAACAAAAACCGTGTGATACCGGGTGTTAAGGCTTGTGACAAGAGCAGTCGCTGTCGTAAGTTAAAAGTTGTAAGGAGCGTAGTTTGCTTAGTGTCAATTTCGCTTTGGTTATTTCTATTCGTCAGCTTTGTGCCGGGGTTGTCTATATTCAACACAGCGTCCTGCTGTGTTCCCATAGAGACACCACATTTAAAACGTGGTGCTCATTAACGTTGTCCGACTTTGCGTTGCTATCTGGATTGTGATTGGACAACCATTAGTCCTGTGAGGTTTCAATATCTCAATTGTATTGTCTTTGTTTTAAGTAAGCCACAATAACAAAGGGCGGTAATTGTATGTTGATCCTGGAAATTGTTATTCAAACAGTCCTACAAACATAAATTTGTTAAGATAGGTGAATTTGTGCACGCAAAAGACAGGCTTCCTACTATAGTGATTGAGGTTTTGCATCCTTGAGCAATAAACAAAAGATAAAATAATGCAAGACGAAATTAACTACTGGTACTCGGCTTCAACATTAGCTACCATTAACTCCAACGAGACAAATTCTAATGCATATTTTATTCTGTTTAGGCAATAGAATTTAGAGAAAATGAAATTTGAATGACTTTATGCACAAGTTTTAATATGATGTTGATGTAAATGTTTCAGTAATGACTTAGAACAATTGGAGAGGACGCAAGTACCTCAGTCTCTTGCTTGGAAAGAACTAGTTTACTGTAAGAAATAGTCATCATTATTATGCAGATAGCAAGTTCGCTACTACTGATTCCGTATCAAACAAAACTTCTTCTTGAATAGCCTACGAGCGGGCTCACTTCTGCTAGCTAGTTCTGGGAAACTTTTGGCGCGCGAGGAAGTCACTTTCCTCGCGCGCCAAAATTTTCCCAGAACTAGCACAAGTGAGCCCGGGCTACTTCGTTAAGGAATTCACTTGTGGCTACAGAATACCCAGTCTATTCTATTCTAATAGACCACAAGATGCTAAAAGCATAGTCGAAGAGACCAGCTGAACACGCACAAAAGCCAGATGAGAGTGTTAACGTCGGTTTTGCCTTTTAAGCTTATACTCATCATTTAATCAAGCTTCAAATCACTTAGAAAATTCAAAAGCGTAAAGTAATTAGAAAATAAGAGGTACCAGGTACCCTGCTTCTGAAACTCCTAATTTATAAAGAATGATGAGCTCGAGTTATCGTAACACTGTTGCTATAGGCAACGATCGATTCTGCAGTTTTGATGTCCGATGATTAACATGAGTCTAACATTGCATAGAAAAAACCTAAGGCCTGTTTCAAACGTAGTGCTACTGCCGTGCTAGGCTGGCTCGACTGTAGCTACACACTAGCACGACTTGGTTTCAGACTTCGAATTTAATTCAGTCGATTAGAACGGCTGTTGCCGAATACAAAACGCAAAATTAAAGAAACGGTTTAGCAAACTTTTGAATATATTCTAATGTATTTATGATTTATGAATTGAGTTCAGCACGGCAGTAGCACAACGTTTGAAACGGGCCTAAATGATGCAAGGGTCGGTTTAAACTCTCTCTCAACTTTTCTTGACAAAAGTGACACACCTTCTCCGTCTAGTCACTCTTCTTAAGGGGGGAAGTCTGGTTGTTTTTTTGTTTGTTTACAATTTTCCATAATTCTAAACATCCTTCCCTCAAATTTTTAATCTTTAATTTATCATAACATTCGAAAAATAACCCAAACATTCCGAAAAATTTATTGAAATAATGACTCAGACTCAATTTTTTCATTGAATGAAATCTTAGCTAGATTTAGGACAGTAATGAAGGAAAAGCAAGGCTTTAAACCATGATTCCCCCAAGCTTGTCGTCCACGACAACAGTAATAAGTATACTCTGCCGCGGTTTGAATTATTTCACTGAAGAAACACTCACTGTGTGGTAACTTGAGTTTCTGCTGCTTCTTTGCTTTCTTTATTTCTGCCAGTGAAGGGAAAAAAAACGAGTCACCGCATTAGCCACAATGACAAAGCGGTGTAACCGCGCGACTGAAGCACTTTATACTGCTACATTGATATCTAGCATTCAATCTGTATCAGCAGGACTGACTACTAACTGATGTTGTTTCACACTTAAACATTATTGCTTATTTTGTAGTTGCAGATGTAAAGCTTCAAGGTCTCGACAATTTGCTAATTATAAAAAGTTATCTCTTATTTAAAAAAGGTGCAGGGATTTCACGAGTTGACTCAAGGTATCAGCAGGGAGAGACGGCCACACCCTGAGGTTGATCCACTCGAGAATTTTGCTGCGGTCAATCACGAGAAGAAAAAGTAGCATCATAGAATAACGAAGTTATTAGTCAAAATCCTTCTTCAAGGGTAGAAAAGGGATACTGTAACAGTGTTTTTAATGTAGTGCGCTTTTCAAAAGGTATCTTCAAAGGGAAAGGGCTCTGAAATCTGGGAGGAGCATCCCCGCATTAAACTTTTTTACTCCCGGAGTTCCTTACCTTTTGGCGTTTCAGCTCTCACAGATAAAGCGTAAGGAGAGGTTGCACCAGAAGTCACCGTCTGCGGCCGAATTAACGGTAAATGCATTCGTTCGCTTTCAGAATCACTCTGTTTCTCCTCCCGCGTCGCAGGTGTATTTCTCTTTGCCTTTGATGAAGACTTTCTTGGCTCCCTGTTCACCGGTGTTGGCTCCTTTTGCACTGGTGTAGCCTGTTTAAATGGCGATGGTTTAACTTCTTCCTTATCAGGGCTGGTAGCCTGTGGACCGACAGCTGTGCTCTCTCCGTCTAAGAAACAGTAGTGACTCAAATCAGCTTAAGACTGGCTCGTTTCTCAGCGAGTCTGGTGTCCCTGGCAACACAGTTTAACTAAGCGACAGCGCACTATCGAGAATCATGTTTCCTAAGTTCTCTTTACTCCGGGGCACCCAACGACTAGTTTCGGTAAAATGTCTGTCAAAGGAGTAAATATTGTCTAGAAACTTCTATTGCAGACGAAAGGCTAGAATTTTTCGGATAACCGTTTCGATCGTCTAAGATATTCGGAGTTTTAATATTAACCTCCCTAAGATTTTCGGGAGTGGATTTTTTACATTTTATTCCCAATATTTGGCGATTATTGGTAAAAAAAAAGGCTAGTACTTGAAAATTTAGGTATAGACAAAGGTCGTCCTCTAAAATTTTCTTATGAAAGTATGGTTACTCCGCGTGTCCTTGCAGTGACAAGACCTGCCGGGGTAGCTTAAACTTTCGAGACGGTCAAAGTTTCCCTTCAGTAAAAATCCGAACAGATAGATAGTGATTAGAGCAGCTCCAAATTGACGAAACAGACTTCTAAAGCATAGCTAAATCCATTTTAAACATTTATGACTTGTTTAGAGTTTTCTAATCGATGGGTGCCTCTGTTCACTAAACAAACAAATAAATCATTACATTGCTCTTACAAAAATCGAAATTTCTCTTTCAGATCATTTGAACTCTTCTTGTCAATATACCAAAACACTCAGGAATTTACCGATTTTCTAGTATCTTGGTAGCTTTTTCCTTGGCAACGTTTTTAGTCGTCTGTTCCATTTAAAAGGGTTTATAGTCTTCCAGTTTATATGATCAAAGGTGAGAAGATTACTCTTGGTTTGTTAGGCGAATCTTCTCCAATCTAGTCAGTTTTTGCAAAGGATACTTCTTTGAATTCGTGCATCATGCCTTAACTTACGGTTGCAATTGTACAGTTGGCATAATAATATACAACACATTACATCTTTCCAGTTTAAAATTACCTTCCGTTCCTCTTGTAATTGAGAGCATTTATCTGGTTTTAGTCAACTAAATATTTTCCTTGATGTAGACAGCTGTTCAGCTGTTTAACGGGTGACGAGTACTCTTCAATAAAACCAACCGAAGGCAGTTGAGTTTTGCCTCTCGGGCATAACGTTTAAACATTTAGTGTCGACCTATGTATTCCAGGCGATTCCATGGTAACAGCGATTCAGATGTTGTAATTGGAGAAAGTACGTGAAGTTCAAGAACTTCATTTGGGCAAGAAGAAGCGATGCTTGGCGATGGTTTGATGGTTAGATAGAGTGATTGTTGTTCTCTTAGATCTTTTAAAAGTGAGAAATAGTTCTACAATACTGAGGTTTCGTTTAGGCATGAGAGCCTAGAAGAATAGTCCTCTAACCACCACAACTCTGGAATCCTACCGGTCATGCATCTTCCCCTGCCGTGCGCATATTCCGTGGAACTATTTGTGGTTTATGAAATCAGCATGCAGAGTGGCTAAGTTCAAAAGTAAACAATTTAATCTATAACTTATCGTTGCAGTAAATGATGGTGGAGATGGCAATGTCTGTCGCTTGAAAACATTCAAACACGTTTTTTTGACTTGGAAAAAACGTTTATTGCACTTCGACAATCTACTATCTTCTCGCTGATTTTTTTTCTGCCAAATTGAACTCCGCTTAAATTATTTCGAATAAATTCATGAGGCTCTCATTATAATTTGCGTGTAACTTACCATGGTTATTTTCAACATCCTCAACTCTAATTTGGGGGCCTTTTTCATCCATTGACGATAGTTTTGTCAGCCGTAGATGCTGGCCTAGCTTGGCCTCAACTTTACTTTGTTATAAAGTGTGTTTAACTTTCTACGATTTGATGTCTTAGAAACCGCTAATTGCAAAGATTAACTGTTCTTGACCAATAAATCTTTAATGACTGGCGTTTTAACATTTGCATGTCAATTCAGCCCTAAACGTTACCCCTTGTTAAATAAATTGTCGTAAATTATGAATTTGCATCAGTGACACTTCTCTTCTTAATACAAATTTCCCCTTTTTAGTCTTTGAAATATAAAAGAGACACTATTTTTCAATATATTCTAGAAAAATTATTACTGCACATCTTTGGGTACTAAAACAGGGCTGTGAGGCAGACGAAAGCCTTAACAAGGCAGCATTAGAAAAACGTTTATCTTGTTTTGTATATTAGGCTGTATGGTTAACAAGGCACCTGCAAAAATCTTCAAATTTTTGCAGAGGCTGCCGACTGAGGTAGTTGCCTCTATGATTTTTTATTTTTGAAGGCTACTGAAAAAACAAATAAGGAAAATAAGTGTTCAAGTAATGAAGAAAAAGTTCTTGGAAGTAATAACAAATTCAAGACCATCAAAAAAACTATCTCCATGGTAACTGGAGTATAACTGCGAAAGAAGCTTCACTATACACCTGTTTCGTTACTGGGAAAGAGTTTGCTTCTGGTATGACGGATATTAAAGAATTAGGCGTATAAACAAACAACAAATATATTTGAACTTTAATTGTTTTAAAAAGTTGTTGACAAGTCCGCAATTCTTTCACCATTGCTGATGTAAGCCTGGCCTCCATTGAGAGGCCATCGTCACCTTTTATCCCATCGCTTTGAGTGGTTCTTATTGTCTGTAGCTCTCATAAAAACCGGCAAGAATTCTTGACGCCAGTTCATTTATTACATTTGTGTGCGGTTGATGGTCTTTGATTGTTTTTTTTTAGATACAAAGAGTACATGAATTGACAGAGAAAATTCTCCACTCCAGAAACTCTAGGAAGAATGGATGCAAGCTTTGGGTGTAGTGATCAGTCTGAGATTGTTTTAGGTGGGCGAACGTTAGTTATGATTGGTGGATGATCCATTAACCAATCATACGTAAAGCTTTTCACCCAAACGACCCCAGAAATCTTTGCGCCGAAAGCTTGTACCCATTCCCCTTATGGCTTCCGGAATGGGGAATTGAAGTTAATTGATTGTTAGCCTGGGGAAATAGCCGACATTACGCGTCCCCACAACTGGTTTCCCTGCGAAATCACGTCTGAGAAACAAGGGCAGAAATTGCATACTGATGACGTGTCGCTACTAAGATCTCAGTAGTGTTTCTGATTGGTTGTCGATTGTTTTCTCAGTCTAATTCGTCATCTGATGGATCATGAGAGAATAAGGAGAGAGAGAGGGAAACACCCAGTCTTGCCGTTGGGATATGTGAATTTCAACGAAAGTTATTTTTAGACCAATTAATCGCTTGAAATTAATTAGAAGCTGGTTTTCGGAGAGGTCCGCAAACTTTTATTCGGTGTTGAATAATGGGACATTAGAGACTTGAAGATCCAAAAAGACGCGGACGGCTATGAGAACGTCAAAAAACCAACGGTTTAATAAGCAAATCAACAACTTTGCACGTGTATCACCCTTTTTTGTACATGTCTTTCCTGTTTTACACTTCTACGACGTAAAAATGTCTAATGTCGCACTTTAAGCAGGACGTAAACAACAACGACGAAAGTTTATTTCTCTTTCTGAGCTTGAATATGGTCACATTAAAGTCAGCTTCAGGAGGGTTCGCATACATTTGACAAAGTAAGTGGGTAGGAATAATCGCTGTAAAGACGAAAAGAACGTAAATTCACTTTTTAAGCGACGTTCTCGTCGCCGTCGCGTCGTTGGATCTATGACGGAACAACGCGTCAACGCCCTAAGATTCCCTCTCTGTTCCATTATTTTCTCTTAGATGGATACTTCTTCTTGTTGTTCTTCTCTATTTCTTCTTATCATCACCATTTTTCCTTCATGTTTCATATTTAGGCTGGTCTTTTCTAAAAGATGACCGCTAAACGTATATTTCATTCTCTGTTTATATCACAAAGGGAGTTAGTAACTTATCTACTGACTTTATTTGTTAGTGAGAAGGCGATGGCAGGTTGACTGGCCGATTTCGAGTAGACACTCAACAATATAGAGATTTTCAATTAAAACTAAACTTCTATTAAAAAAGTCAATGTAAAAGTAAATACTTACCGGTACTTGATAGACTCGACACAGAAGTGGCTCGGGCAGACTTAATACTCGAAACTGCTAAGCTCAGATAACTGCTGTACTCTGTTATGGCAGACCGCAGGCTCGGGCTGCGTTGAAGGATCAGACTGATAGGTGTCCCTGGTGGGAATAATGAGCCTCGACTGGATGCGTTGCTTTGGTAACCAGCATAAGCTCGGAGTGGTTGCATCCTGGGCTTTCTTGAAATTGTGCTTACTTTGCTTGAAGCACTAGAGGAAGTTTTTCTACTTTTGTCAGATTTACTTGATTTTACAGTGGACACGGACAATGCACTCGTTAAAGAAACTCCACCATAGATTGAAGGTTTCTTGTGATGACTAGTATTCGGTCGAATAGTCGACGCAGAACTAAGATACGTATCATTTCTCTCTCTCCGACTGCGTTCCTTGCGTTTCAAAACTCTTTTACGTCGATTCTTAAAATCATATAAATCGTCATTGTCTGTTTCTTGTCTTTTTCGTTGCTTACTTTTAGATGACATTTCTGCTCTGCTACTTTTGCCCCTACGACCAGACCTGCTTTCAGATCGATTCGCTCCTCTTTCTATCTCGAAAAATGACATCACCGCTTCCCTATTCAAGTCAGGGACAGATTTGACACGCGGCATGGTTGGTGTCTTTATAATCGAACGAGTACTCATTCGCGAAGCCATCTGACTGCGACTTACTGGTCGCGCATTCGAGAGTCCAGGAAGTATTGTTAATGTAACGCGGCGCTTCCTAGCTTTTTGAAGGTCAGGTTGGGATTTACTTAAGGTTTTATTAGAAATTGCAGGCAAATGTGGCACTTGAGAGCGAGATTGTGTTTTTGTGGGAGTTTTTGCTCGCGTTGTTTTCCGTTTTCTTTTAAATTTGTTATTGTCAGGCCCTTCGCTAATAGTGTAACCAGCTGCACTGAATGTGCTCCATCGTGTCCAATTCCTGACTGTCACATAAGAGCCTTTGCTTTGCACGCTCGTGGTGCCTTTTTCGCGCATGCTCATTCTACTAAGCGCTGAACGGTTGCGACTCGATTCAGAAAGTTCCGATTCATTGACTTCAATTCCAAGTTTCTCTCTTTCTTTTTCCTGTTTTACTGCCATTTTTTTCATGCGGAACTGATTAATGTTCAGAATATAAGACGGTGCAGAACTAACAGTGGACTTGACGCTAGCTCTTCTCTCTGTCTTGGTCGTTTTTATAGATTCCGGTCTGCTCCGGACTGAAGCAATGGTTGGAATACTGCTGGTGCTCGCATTTAAACTGCTGGAGTAGTGAGTTCGAACACTAACAGGAGTCTCTTGTAGTCTTTTAGAGTCTGTTTCAGTTCCATTGGTATCATCCTCGACTTCATCCTCAACTTTAACTTCTTCATTATCATCATCATCATCATCATCATCATCATCATCATCACTATCGTCACTCTCATCTTCACTTTCACTCTCGACACTTTCATCTTCACTATCCTCGTCATCATCATCATCACTGTCGTCATCGTCGTCATCATCGTCATCATCACTACTTTCTTCCTCATCTTCAGAGGCGAGCCTTGGGTCCTCATCTTCGCTGTTAGTTTTGTAATCAATGCGGTCACTTTCGTCGTCATAATCAATCCTCACAATATTTGGAGTAGGGCTGCTTTCGTTCCGACTTTGTCCATCGGGGTTCCTTCGGACTGATTCGGGTCCTGGTCGGTGGATAGGCAAAGAAATCTTCCTACCAGCTTGCGAGGGATTATGAGAATTGACAGCTTTTTTAGCCTCTACATGATGCGACTTGGTATTGAGGCTGTCTTTAAATGCACTAAGTTGTGAGCCATAAGACTGAATTCCTGAGCTTCTACCATCACCTTCTGTTCTTTCATTGTATATTTTTCTCGTAAGGGACTTGCTTTTCCTTTTTTTCTCTTGTAGTTCTTTCTCAAACCTCTTAAGATTTTCACTGGTAAGCGAAAACTGTTTCACGGTGGACATGACGTGACGTTGTTTTCTCCGTTGTGAACATTCATGCTGCTAGAATTCTTTTTTCAACTTCACATTCCAGAAAAATTGTCGCTATAAAAATAAAAGGAAAAAACTTTTTAGACACGAAATACTACAGTAAAACTACCAAGAAACCATTTGCGCGAGGGAAGTGTGATTCCATCGATGCTGTTGTTTACCCCATACCATTTGGATTCCTTATTAAAGCACTTATTTTGCGATTTAAAATTTTCCTACCAAATATGGATTCTGTGCATACTAAGCCTAAAGCCTTGAGCCTAAAGAACACACGTGCAAAGCCCAACCTCAATCAACAGGGGAAACACGTGAACCCTGACGCTCGCTTTCTAAGTCCCTTGGCATCGCTTATTTAAACTCTTAGTACGCAATTATGTTAAATCAGTTTAAAGAACTTTGTAATAATGCGCGCGATTTAGGCTCTGTGTCCACAGTAATGCGTTTTCAAAAGTATGCGCTTTCGTTGTCATCGAAAACGCAACAATTGATTCGCGTCCACACTACCGTTTTGATGCGTTTTCCGGCTGTTCACACTAAAACGTGGGAAAAGGATAGAATTGCATATTATGACGTAAGTGGAACTCTATGCGCATGCTAAAATGCACACTTCTGCGATATTTTCCCGAACATCGTTTTCATTTTGATGCGTTTTCGACCCTTTTCGACCATCCACACGAATACGATATTTATGCGTTTTCATTTTTATCCACTTCCTAGAGTGTTTTCAAATCGAAGCATTTTTTATGAAAACGCTCATCGTATTAATGTGGATGGAAGGCCTAAACGCATCGAAATGCATACGGTTTTAAAAGGAAAACGCATTGTTGTGGACGGAGCTCTAAATTCAACGAAGATTGTAAAATATGTAACTCTGATGATGACGGATGTACCGCGGTCGAAACATGCTGGTAAATTAAAGAAAGTTGTTTGTTTTGTACTTGTTTCTTTGACAATCTCTATTATATTGTTGCTGCTATCTAGACCTTTTTGATGAATTTATACTGGTTCCTTCTTGGAGGGCCGCTCAACATTAATTTATATCCATCTGGCAATGTCAATTCTTAAGCCGGGAAATCAATAAGGTCTTTTTAGTTTTTTTCAAATTTTCTATTTGCCGATGCTCTCTCTCGTAGCTGGCGGGATTAGCCGACGAGAGCTCTTGTTTGTTTGTTTGTTTTTCTGTTTTTTATTTGTTTTTAATTTTTTAGAAGAGCCGTGAGAAGATTGTGATCAAGTCATTGGAAATTTCGTTCTCTGGCTTCTCCGCCTGCTTTGAGTAGCAAGTCCGCCATGAAACTGTACCCCACGCATGACAATTCCACTAGCTACGTACGCGGGCTACAACATCTATAGTCTCTTTGTTTAAACACAATTAAAAGTCGAGTAGGCACAGAGGCAATAACACTTTAAATCGCCTGAAAATGAATCACAGGGGAAAACGAAGTCATGATAAGTTCAACACAGCGTGGTGGCAATACTTGACTTGAACAAATACAATATGGAAGTTATTGCCTAAATAACAGCTGCCATTTTTCTCTCCTGGATTATTTTAACTCTGTATTGAGATCTGAAAACAAGTTGCAGAAAGAGTTTACTTTAACTTGTTACTAATTGCGTGTTTACATTTGCTAATGCAAACAACGTAAAGTAAAGTAAAAATATATATTATTTTTGGCCAGCCGCGTTTAGTTAACTGGTTTACATAGCTCAGTGCGCAAAGATATTTGAGAAACGATAGTTCTTGAAAATTTTAAAATTTTAAAAAAGCAATGGGATGTTAATGTTTCTTGTCTGGAAATGTTTCGTACGTTTTTATTGTGATGAATTGTAATGGGAATACGTCAAATAACTTTCTGTCACTTGAAATAGATTGTGTCAGTCTAAGTAACTTCTAAAAAAAACTCTGAGAGAACTTGTAGATTTATTATAAGATAGCTCATCTATAGAAATTATAATTGTTTCGATTCACTTAAAGAGCTTGCGAAATCAATAAGTAATAAATTTGCTAAGTGACTAACCTTCGGGAAAACATGGTATAAAATATATCCAGCATTTATAACATATAACGTCTTTGAACAATGGGTAAAAATAGGTATCTCCTACATGCAGGTTTTAGCCTAAAAGACAATGGATCAAGATATATGAAGTGGACACAGCCTCTGCGTAGTCTTGCGTTCGGTAAAACGCAAAATTGCCGGGTTCTCATCGTAAAAAGGCTTTAAAGACTCTTAAGTGACTAACACCTAGAAAGCTATCAAAAAATTTAAACAAACAGAGGAACTTACAAGCAAACCACTGCTGGAAACATCCATCACTTTGGCTAGCATTAGAAAAACCCGACATTTTACTTATAATTCACCATGAGAAGGTTTCCATGGTACAAACAAACTGACTTTTGTTATGTTAAACTTCATTAATGTCAATTACTTTCTCTGCATAAAAATTGCACGGTTAGAGTCGGTGTTGATTGGTTGATGAACAATGGCAGCAGGTGCGGTCCTCATAAAACATGATAAAAGTCAGAAAGTGTTCAGTGATTCATAATTCAGTAGCACGATGACTTTGTCAGAGCTTTGTTTTGTCTTACCGTTTTAAGCTAACTTTGTCCATTACCTCCTAACCTTTGCGGATGCAAAAATTGATTTAAGAGGATTTCATTTTGGTCGATAGCAAAACAACAATCGCTAACCTTGTAATTACACCATAAACGTTATATACGCACATAATAGTAAAAGGAGAATAAAAAATCTGAGAAAGTGCAAAAAGCTCGACGCCGTGCAAAACGTACTTCAGCATATGTTTGGCTGGCTGCAGTTTAAAATCAGACACATAATAATGGAAGAGTTATAATTATGAACAGCACGTAGGCAGTTCGACCTGGCTCTTGGCCGAGTTGATGAATACTAAATTAATAAATTCATATCTTTCATTTATTCATTCATTCATTCAGCCACAACCAGCTTTTAGTTGCTCCCGAAGGGATTTCGCCCAGAAAGCGAAATCCCGAGGAGGCACTCTGGTAGCTCGCGCGTGTATTTAGGAGAGTAATTACAGTTGAAATATACAGTCAGTATGCCAGAAAAAAATCTCAATTTGCTTGAACAGGGACCGCATGGAATCGTTGGGTAATGATGACGTTTCTATTGTTCGTGCCCGCTAGAACGAAATGGTTAGGATTGTACTGCTAGCTGCGAGTCGCCAAGGTTTCAAATACTGCACATGGTTTATTTCGTCCAAAATGTACAGAAATACAGAAGATATAAAGAAATTCGAAATCTACGTAGAGATATCAACAGGAACTACAATCATAGACGCCGAACGTTTCATGTACTCAATTCAATGTATTATTAGGTTCGGCTCATGAAAAGTTCGGCATCTGAACCGGGCCTTATTTTCTCTCTCGACTCTTCACTTCATAAACAGAGTTGTCAAGTTACCTTTTAATCCGCAGAAACTAAAACTAAGTTGAAAGCAACAGTTTTGTTATCGATGAGTCTGCAGAAATACTGTCTAATTTTTAAGAAGATTTTTAGATTCATAAACAAATAAAAACTAAAGAATGATATAATGTTCCCACGTTTCGGGGACCTCATGACGCCATTATTAAAAAATGAGTAACTTAGCTTCCTGTTTATTTAATCTATATGATTTGAACTTCTCTTGAACTCGGCTTTATTTACTAATCCCTTAATAATGGCCATGAGGTCGGAGAATATCTTTTATTTAGTTTTTATGTGTTTGTGTACGTTTGAGGCGAGGAAAATTAGAACAATATGCCACAAACATTTCCATACTAAGTTATTGCTTATCTTCACAAATGCATTAAAAGCATTATATCCAGCTTACGTGACTGAATGTCGTCTTTCCGTTAGAATGAAATTCATACCGGTCAAAATATTGCTTTCCTCCTCAGAAGTTAACCAAAAGAGACAAATTCTTCGCGTGTTCAGAATACAAATGATCTTGCCCGTCACATTTCAAGTTATTATCATGACTAAGCAGAGTGTAAGATAGCTTATAACCATTAGATAAGAACACAAAGTAACCGGGTAATTTAATAGCAAAAGCACTTAGACTGAAATAAAAAACTTATATTATTGGTGCAACTAAAATTGACGTGTAATTTGCTGAATACATTTTAGCAATAATAATGCATTAAGTGATATCGAACACCTGGCAGGTTCTTTTTTAGCTATAAACCTGCCAAATTTTTGGTTTCCAGCGTTCAGTAAGCCTCTTGAACGAGAGTTAACAACAGGCTTAGTAAATTGGCATTGTACATAAACAGATAAAACACATATCTTTTAAATAAATAGGAAACTCTACTTGTACTGTGAAGTTTTTTTAGCATTCGGCTTATCTAAATAGAAAAAAAAATTGTCTCTTATTACAATTTGACCATGTGAGGCGAAGTGTCAGAAACTGAATCGAAATCGAAAACTGGCTGCCTCTCTTGAAAAGTATATTAATAAACTGACTTTCCCCCCGTGTGCAAATGGTAAATTTATCTTGGAAAAGCGTGTTTACATTTGCTAATGCAAACAACGTAAAGTAAAGTAAAAATATATATTATTTTTGGCCAGCCGCGTTTAGTTAACTGGTTTACATAGCTCAGTGCGCAAAGATATTTGAGAAACGATAGTTCTTGAAAATTTTAAAATTTTAAAAAAGCAATGGGATGTTAATGTTTCTTGTCTGGAAATGTTTCGTACGTTTTTATTGTGATGAATTGTAATGGGAATACGTCAAATAACTTTCTGTCACTTGAAATAGATTGTGTCAGTCTAAGTAACTTCTAAAAAAAACTCTGAGAGAACTTGTAGATTTATTATAAGATAGCTCATCTATAGAAATTATAATTGTTTCGATTCACTTAAAGAGCTTGCGAAATCAATAAGTAATAAATTTGCTAAGTGACTAACCTTCGGGAAAACATGGTATAAAATATATCCAGCATTTATAACATATAACGT